GGGGAATCACGGTGCCCAAGGCACGGACAACAGACTGTACAACTCGTTCCTCCACTGCACAATCAGATTGTACAATAGCCAAACGCAGACCTAGTGTTCTAGTGTTTCATGTCCCACTTTTGTATGTAATTGTCTTGTGCATTTCTATACTTATGTAAAGTCCACACAATTCAGGAGTACTACGTACCCCTGCTATGTAGACTGTTCTTAATAAAATTGAAATTGAAATAAAGCCATGCATAAGACAGACCATAACTTACCTGGAGCATGTTTCTGGTCATAGACCACCTCCAGTGTGTGCCTGCCCTTCTCCTTGGGAGTGACCTTGAGCTCATAGGTGCCGTTCTCAAAGTCATACAGCTGCACATCCGAGGACTTGCTTGGTCCAAAACACCTTGAAGCCAGTGTCCCTAGAAATTAAGTACAAAGTTGATGAATATTTCTATCATCACTATGTAATGTAAAAGTTGCGTCCAATTTTCAGATGAATTGATCCAGAGTTCTCTATTATTTTAGAGTTAGGCCACACCAATTTAATTTGTTGGTTCTCGGATTCGCCTCTTCATTTTTTTCTGATTTGCAAAAAAAAAAGATTCTGGTTCTGAATCAACTAAAAAATGCTCATATGTTGCCCCCAACAGTTGAGGAAATTCCTTTTCTTCCTAGTTGTTACAGTTTTTTTCCATCTATCAATGCAGTGGTTTGATTAAAAGTTCAAAATTTATACTTTAAACTTTAACCCAGCCTTTTTTGTTGACTTCATGGCTCATATTGTAGCATTTGGGGCTATAATAGGATGCCTAGACCTGTTTTTATTTTTATTATTTTTTCGCCCTGTCGCTTCATATTTTTTCTGAAAAAATCCGAGAACCAACAAATTAAATTGGTGTGGCCTTAGTTTATTTTTTCTACTAGTGCTGTATTTTCCTCACTTTCACAGTAACAGATAAGAACTCTGAATGGTTTAATTTTGAACATCATTGTATAGTCCATATTTTACCAATGCCTCTGCCCCATTTTAAATGCATTTGGCATTCTAATCTATAATGATTTTATGACACTAAATAAATTCTTACAGCTATGCAGCTACTAGTAGTATACAGTAATCTCCAAGCAGATCCTATGGTGACAAGACATGCCAGAGGAGTGTCTGTACCCAGAGGAGTATCCACTAGCCACCAATTTGCTTAGAGATTAAGGTAGTACATGTACAAGCTACATGAACAAATGTTTGACACTGTTTTCTTACCTCCCCCAGGTGCAGGTCTTGTGTCCACGTGAACCCGGAACGGTGTCTTGGCGTTGGCGTACTCCGGCAGCCCCTTCAGGATAACATCACCTACAGGCTGTAAGTACAGACATTGTTATTGCCTTATTCATCTTCTTCATTTGCCATCCTCAAGTGATGTTAAGCATGATGCTTTTTCAAGTAGCTAAGTACTAGTACTAGTAGTAGTGCATTGCGACTTTGCTATTTAGCTTGTGTTTTAGCCAAGCATGCCAGTTGATGCTTGAGGCTGTCTTTCGAAGCTCTCTTACATTGGGTCACCAGCTTTCTATCACCAGCCAATACAATGAATGCAGCCAATTACAACTCATCAAAAGCATCATCATTTACTAACTGGTAAGAAAAATATGCTTCCAGCTCATGCATACATGCATATTCTGTGTATTCTTCAAATCTCTGTATTCTCATACTCTGTTCAGTTAGATTGCATATTGAGAGTAACTAGTATATATTTTACATGCACGTTGTTGGAGGCTATAGGCATGTACCTCAGTTGCCACCTGTTTAGGTTGGGGCACCTGTGCCGGCTGGGCCACCTGTTCAGGTGGAGACACCTGTGCCTGTGGTGGCACCTGTGCCGGCTGGGCCACCTGTTCAGGTGGAGACACCTGTGCCGGTTCTGGCACCAGTGCAGGTTGGGGTATGGGTGAAGGAGCCTCCACCTATCCAATACATTAAGGTGTTAATTTTACATCACCGTGTTCAATATTTTAGATTAAGTGCTAACAAAACACTTCACAAACAAAAAACACCTTTGAAAATGTTAGTTGTGCATGTATCTCTTTGTTAAGATCAAGAATTCAAACATAAAACATACACCACAGGACACTAATTTGTTGTATTATGTACATGTACATTGTGATGAAAGATTGCTCATGTCAAGTTGTATTTTAGTAGATATCTACTACATACCCTTTCTCATAAGTTGTTAATGTAAGAATAATAGATAAGTAGTTTTTACAGTGATATGTGTCAATATATAGGAAATGTGTAACATACCGGGCGCGATGACTGGGAGGGTGAACGTGGCGGCTGCGATGCCAGGGAGGGTGCCTGTACACAAGAAAATATAACAGTTACTTAATATCTGACTATATGAGGATGAGCAGAAAGGCAAGAAAGATTTATGGTACTGCAGTAAACTGTTAAATTAAAGATAAAGGTAAAACATTCATCCTCAAAGAAAGACTTTACAAATAATAATTTGATGCGACACTATTTTGTAAGAAGGAGTTGAAATAGGTACAAGTCAACCAGTAATTAGTGTATCGCTGCAAAGCCAAAAATATGAACTTAGGTTGCCAAAAGTTAGCTCATATCTAGAGTGTTTCCTTGATTTTATTCTATGTGTTGAATGACTGCTCGTTTTTAAATAACTTTAATTTGCATAACATACCCGTACTGGCGGTGGCATTGACTGCTGGACTGGCTGGTCATCTATCGCTTGTACGATGTCCGGTTCCTGTACGTCTGCTCGGAAGGGCGAGTGCTTGATGTCGCGGCCGGCGTACAGGACAGAGATCTCGTGATCACCCTTCTCCAGAGGTGTGAACTTCAGGTTATGCCTGTCGTTTCCTACATCAGTCACTGAGGACTGGATCTCTCCTGACGGACCCCGCACCACTGATTTAAACGTTCCTGCAATGTCAAGTGCGGGTATTAGGGAGTGGCTTATATCTCTCCTTCTTTTCTACACTATATATCCACTTACAATACTCTTATTATTATGTTTACCATCACAGAAGGAAAACACATTGTTTTTGCTCAGTTTCTTCTTCTCCAAACACATGAGGTCAATGACCTGGACCAGACGTCTGTCACCATGGTAACTAGTGTTTGGGTTACATTATATAGCAGAACAGAGCTGGAGAGCCTGCTCACCATACATATGAATGTATTTGACTTTGAGTAAGAATAAACAGATCTGAAGTTTGTTGGGCTGGAGCAGGTGAAGGTAAATATTATGCATTTGCTATGCTACCTTCCTAGTTTTTATTATTTCTCCTAGTGGTATTTCATTGGTCTCATTTTCTGAAGGAAAGAAACACCATACAAGTTGTCATTATTTTGATAGCACAGAAAAGGGCAAAGATGTCATGAGTTTTTCCCCTTTCTACTAGATGTAGAAAAGATGAAAGTCTAACCTGGTCCAGCGGTGGACGCATCTAACTCCACGTTGCATGTCCTGTCCACAGTGAGAGGCAGCTTCCGTCTGTCTGCCACCATCTCTCCTGGTTTGCCCAGGATCTGAACATTTCCTGGTGCAGAGATGTTTGGATAGAAGGGACTACCTGCTCAAAATAAACCAAAGAACTACTTTTAGGTAGAGAATCATTTCATGTAAAATTCTGCAAAATATATTCAAAATAGTTAATTCAATTTTGAAATGTTTAAAAGATTATGTTGCTGTGAATTATGGTTTACTGTTCTCTGATTATAAAGTGAGTAAAATGCATAATAATTTACCTTCCACATGTTTTCCAAAGTACACAATATCCACGGTGTGAGGTCCTGCATCTCTTGGCGTGTAAATAACTTTGTGTTGGTCCCCTTGGCTGTCCACCTCGTGAGGCACGAAACCTTTGCTGTCTAAAATCATAACATAAAATATTTTGTAGAAGTACCTCAAGTCAAGGTACAAAATGTACATACAAAAATGCTTCAAAGTAACATTCATGTATATCCATGGATAATATGTTGAGGTTTTAGCTCATTGCTGTTGCAAGTGAGAATAGAATAGCATCAATATGGGTGTATGCCAACAAGAACAAAATGAAATATTTCCACAGTGTTGAAGACTCACTTGAGATCCTGACGCCAAGTTCTTCCAGCTTGCAGTTTTGGGCATTAATGTCAAATGTGGCCTTTTCATCAACATAGCCTCTTAACAGCCCACTTCCAGCCACACCAATTTGTGGTTCTGCCTGGACATCACACACAAATGGTGTACCTAAAATGATATAATAAAGATTTGTAAGATAAAAACACCAGCTTTAAAGTAATTGAGGACCAGTGCTTGTAACATTGTCACTGTAGATTGATTTATAATCATGTTTTAGTATAGTATCTATTGAATCTTCGTATAGCCAAGAGACACGTAAACAAGAGTAAACAAATAACACGAGTAATGGCAAATGTTTCAATTAAAGCATCTTCAAAGCAGCATACATATTAGGCAAGAGACACTGGAATAAATGTATTACAAGATGAAGTTGAACATTATAAACATGAATAGGAATATTATAAACATGAGCATTTATACATTAAAGAGAAGTTGCTTGAAAAATAGTCGTCTGTTGTTCAGAGGCACATTGTAATATTATGCATTGACTTGTTTAAAAATACATGTACAACGTCTTGCAATGGTTGTACCGAAACAGATGAACAGCTTTGGTAAAGCGCGCTAGGTAGCATGATTATCGTGCCTGTTAGGGTGATCATGATTGGTGTTACGGAAAACATTGTTATGTTTGCAAGTTTTTTGTGCAGAAGCTGCGCATGATGGAGACTTGGAGTACAAAAACTGTGGAAACACAGGCAAGCAAACAAACAGTCACACACACAAACAATACCTCCATTCACGGAGGTGATGGACACACGTGAGACAAGGAGATGACAGACTTTATTAGATTTTTTGTTTCAAGATCGTTGTCGACATGTTCCTGTCATGATACCTGGCACATGTGTATTGTGATACTCAAGATGCAGGTCGTGAGGCCTCAGCTCTGTCGGCGTGAAGCGGATGGTGTGAATGGCAGGTTCGGGCATGTCTTTATCCACTACCGACTGCACCTCTGAACCCGCCATCATCACCAAGGCGTTCAGATCTCCTGGTCCAGCTTCACTGCAATCAACTGGAAACATACAGACTTGTCATTACAAAACTATAAAAACAAAGACTTTCAGAAGAAAGTTCGTACTTGTAATCGATGGGTATCAACAATTTGCCTTGCAAAGTAGTAAAATACCTTGGAAAGTCGTTTCTTGTCCAATAAATGAGGGCTCCAACAGAGTCACGACAATTTTGGAAACATCGTAGGCTTCAAATGTGAAAGGACTGCCATTCACCTCCTCTCCAGAAAAGAAGACGCAAACATCGTGTTGACCTACGATATCAGAGGAACAACAACTTAACTGAATTGTATTTTCTTCTGTATCTTCTTTTTCGAAGAACGAAAAGTTGTATTTTTTTATCTTCGTGAAAGAAACTCACCGACATACTGCGGTGTGAAGGAGACCAGGCTGTCCTCGACTTCATACCGTAGAGGCAGTCCTTTGGGGTCTGTGAAGTTTTGTTAATGGATTTGTAAACTTTTAACGATTGCTCTCATTGTGGTCAAGAATGATCATGATCGCAATATTGGTAAAAGTTGTTGGTAGTTTTTTTTTTAATTTTAATTGCCATGTGCCTTTGATACAATGCATTCTAATGTTTAGCAAGCAGAATTTTATTTCTTTGCCCACGTTCGCTTTATCTAAAAGCAGATCTGTTGGGACACAGGCGGCTTTTGAGCCCCGTTAGGCTGAAAACTGGAACTTCTAAAGTTGCACAGTCATCTAGAAAACGTCACGATATTTTTTCCTGATGACCTGCTAGGAGATACACAAAACTTTGATATCCATAAGAATCACCTGACACGTGCACCCCCAGAAGGTCGTCGTTGTCGGCACCACCCACGAAGAAGTAGGCCTTCTCACCGACGGGAATCTTGCTGAGGTTCTCGGCCATCACCACTATGTTTTTGGTGTCTAGCACCAAGAACTGGAACGGAGATCCTGCAAGAAACCTGACCACTGACCCACAAAAATCACCGGCACAAATTTGCACCGTGTCTACGCGCAATGGCAATCTGCAGCTTGTAAGGAGGTCCAACTCAGAAAAATTTCTTTTAAATGTTATTTCATTAAGCTAAGAAACAGTACAAAACAGTACATGTAGTTTAGATTTCACTTTGGCTCTTTGCTTCAACTAGCCTCTGAACAACAGACGACAAGAACATAGCTTATTTCCGCTCATGTTTGTGTGTGTAAGTCTTTGTTTTACCTGGTACAGGTTTGTTGTTATACTTCATATCCACACTGTAGCTTCCAGGTTGAGTCGGAGTATACTGTACAAGGTACTGGTCACGGGACGGCTCTGTCATCACGTCAGGAACGTCAGGGTCGACACTGTAGGTCAGCTTGCCTGGACCAGCATCTCTTGCATCCACTAGGGAATGGTAACATATAAAATTGATTTCTATCTAATATGTACTTGAATACTAAGATGGCACACAGATTCCAGTTGGTGGTGGGAGGCAACGCAGTAAGGTTTCATTCAAAGTCAAAGTCATTGCCTACATCGGGATGTATTTCACTATTTCACTAACGGATCAATATTGGTACCGTCCACTATAATAATAAAATTGAATACTCTTATACGTTATAGGTAACCAGAACATGTGACTAGCGCATGTATAGCTAGCAAAATCTAGCTTCATCAACTTTTATACCCTTTAAACGTTGATGCTTTATCACAATGATTAAGATTCCTACCTTTGATGTTGACTGGTTGGTTGACTGTGGCGGTCCTGTCTGGATCAGCGCGTATTCTATTGGCGTCGAAAACGTTGACGGTGTAGGGACTGCCTGACACCTCCTTCTCGTCATAGTGCACCCTGACTTTGTGTTGACCTAAGATGACATAGAAGATAATTCTATTAAGGACACGTCAAACCAACGAAAAGGACATCTACATTTGTACATACAACTCTCAACTTAACAATGTAAGAATATTGTCACATCAGATTACTTTATTACATGGCACAAAATTCATCTGATATCGCTATACCAGAGAGTAGAGATGTATATTTGAACCTCAACGAGGTGACTACAAAATAGAAATCTCTGTTGATTACCGATCTCTCTGGGGGTGTAGTCTACATGGTAAATTCCGTTGTGTGCTGTGATGTTAGCAGGTACATCTTTTCCCGTGGGATCTGCAAAACACAATATATCAGCAAAAATGGATATTTGCAAGTACTCTATAAATGTTTAAGGCTCAAAAGGATATATGCTATGTTTTTGACTTAAATAATTGTGTATTGAACATCCAGCTTGTTTACAAAAAATCACAGGCAACTGTGCTGCATTTTGTATATATGCAAAGAGGAACATTTCATTATCATGAACAGAGAACATTATACAATATTGGCTTCTCTGGCTGTTGTGTCCAAACTAGTGAGAAGAACTTACCTGACACCTTCACCAAGGCATCCTCCACATTGCCTGGTCCTTTTGTCTCCATGTAAAATGTGGTCTTCTCGTTGACAGGAAGAGGCAGGGTCTCGCTCACACCGTCCCCGTGGACATCGACGGCGTCCATGTTGTACACTTTGCACGGGAATGGGCTCCCTGTGATAGGAACATCGGTATGTATTTTATAAAAGCAAATAAATTAGTTGGTGTATCTTCGACCCATTTTGTTATGCGAAAAATCTGTAGGTCCTTTCATATTTACCTTCGTTTTGCAGATCAAGCCATTATTATGTTTACCGAAGGAAAACATTTTGTTTTTGTTCTGTTTCTTCTTCTGCAAACAAGTAAGGTCAATGACCTGCCCCCAGACGTCTTTCACCATGGCAACTAGTGTTGGGTTACATCATGTAGCAATTTTATAGCAGAGGGGATTTAGACTCCTGTCACCATATACTAGTATATGGATGTGTTTGAGTAAGAATTAACAGAGCAGGCCATATGCGAAGGTAAACATCATGCATTAATTTGCAAATGTTACCTTTCTAGTGTAAATATTGAATTCACGTGGAATGTTCCTGATCCTTAGTCATACCTTCCACAGGGAAACCGCCATGCCGGATGTGGGCGTTGTACGTCCCAAGTTCATTGGCAAGGAAGGTCATCAAATGCCGCCCATCATCCGCCTTCCACAGCTCAGACGGCACCTTGTCCCCGTCCTTACTGATCTCTCCGGTAAGTTCAGCTTTGCCAGCGTTCCTGCCGTCAACTTAAAGGTAAAGACATTGTTAACTCATTGTATGTAATAGTGAATAAGTAGTTTACGGAATATATATGTTGCAATGATAAATAAGAAGTTTTTGAAACCATTACATGAGGTACAATCCTATTTCTTACTTTTCAAAGACACTTGCTGTCCAAGTTTGGCCTTGGGGACACTTTGCACCTCGACTTTGCTCGGATCAAAGGCGTGCGCGATAAACGGGCTTTCCTTGACTTCTTCCTCCCCGTACTTCACCATAAACTTGTGGTCACCTGGAAAACAATGGAAGTTTAGTTAAGATTACAAAAAGCGATAGCTTGTTTTTATTTCCTGTATGCCATGCATTTTATGATATCTTCAAAGAGATCAATACCGTTGAAGTGCTTTGCAAAAATTTGTGGTTGAAACATTAACGTACCAACATCCACGGGCATGAAGTTGACACTGTAGATTTGGTCTTCTGCATTCATTTCACAAGGGAAGTCCCTTTCCGTAGGTCCTATAATTCAAGAACAGAAAAGAGTTAATCGTTAAATAACATGAAAGTCCTTCAAAACTAATAGAGTTCATGAGGAAGCCACACCGTAAAGCAAGTTATAAACACTTAACCACTTTAACTAATCAACCAATGATTTTACCAGCCACTTTGACGACGACCTCTTCGTCTCCAGCCTTGGTGGCGTCAATTTTCATGATGGCCTCCTTGTTGACGGGGATACACTTCTGGTCGCCTATCCCTGCCCCCATCACCACAATGTCCTCTGGGGTCGACAGGACAGTTGTAAACGGAGAACCTGTAAATGTAGATAGCGATAGTTTGAGCGTTGCCATTCTTTTTCAGCATGGATGCTTATACATATAACAATATCATTTAAGTATGATAGTGTTACTAGTAAGAATTGAATTGACCTGAGATTAAGTCAGGTAAAACATATATTTTCTGTTGAATTTTGCTGACTTCAGTCGACTTACACAGTCATTCATCATCTTCATCATGCCTCGACCTCCGGATTGATTATCCGGTAAGGTACACTTGATTAAGTTACTCCAATACACCCTGTCCCTCATGGCGGACACTAGAGCAGTCCCTGCGTCTTTTTCTCTAACATTGACAAAAGTGTATTATGTGGTCGTCCCAATGTACGTCTCCCAGTGGGAAGCCATTGGATTAGTCTACCAGCTGTTTCATTACGAAGTAGCCGACCTAAATTCTAATGAACTGAACTTAACCTAGAAAATAACCTTACCTTTAACCATTTCGTCATTGAAGGAGAAGGTTGTGAGATGGGCTGCACTGTTCTTGGGGGTGAACGTTAGATCGTACAGCCCCTCTCCGGCCGAACTCAGCTTGGATGGAACGTCCTGTCCACCTGCCGCCACGACAGCTTTCAGGACACCCTGTCCAGCGTTCGTGGTGTCCACTAGGTAAAGGAATAACACGTTTACTTGTCTCACGATGGTCAGATTTGGGCCCAAAAGTCCCACTCTGCTACTATGGAGATCGAATCCCCCGAACCCGCGAATCTTGTTCGATATGACGTCATTCGAATAGAGCGGGCGTTCGATCTGGGGTTACCCGCGGTCATTTACAGTAAAGCCGCTACAACCGGCTACTTCAAGCCCTTTTTTACTTGGGAACCACGGAACAGGAAAAATCCACCTTTCCACAAATATAAACCGTTTTCAAAACATTACATCTATGCCGTGATTTTATTGTGGATATGTAACATGTAACGAAGCTACTGCCGTCATCGTGGGTGACCTTGAAGGTCAGAATTCTTGTTGACGCTGTTATAAAATCCAGGTCCCCATATCCAAGTGGCACAGCATGCGTGCAAACATGGTATTTTAACCATTCCCAAAAATCGCTCAAATTACCTCATTGAGGGCTTGTTTGGAAGAGGAACGATTTCCGCAGATTTCTGTCTTAGGGATTTTTTAAATATGGCCGCGATTATGAATTATCGGTATTTAAAGTTAAAACACTGCGTTTTTAGCTCTTCTTTTGACTGTAAGTCGAGTTTTAGTTAAAATAAAAAATCCTAAGACAGAAAGTTTAAATTTACTGTAATATTTCTAAAAATCCAAAAATCTAACCTTATTTTTAATTTTCGGGGCCTCTTAAAATCAGTTGTTTGGTTCTCGTGAACCCTTTTTGAAATCCGAAATTGATCTCATTCGGAAGCAAATGTACACAAAGTGGAGCAAAGGCAGTGCAAGAATAACATTTGAGGTAAACAAAATCACTTATTACATTTTATTTTGACGAGTATTTACTCTCCAATTACTTTTGTTTATTTTCAAATTTTACCCCTTGCCCCCGGGCCGGCCCGGGACTCCCGCGCGGCCACGTTCGAACGCGTTCTGTAACCCGATACCTCCCTAGTAATGCGACTTTTAGCCTAGCAACCGACCGCCGTGTCTATTGAAAGCTTTGTTTTGTCGAAAGATGAATAGGTTTTCTTCTGATGAACAATCACGTTGCCTGCAATTCCTTTAATTGGTTCTTTTGGTTTCTTGGTCAATGGTTTATTGGTTAAGCATTACCTGTGTAATCACAGCCTTTTATAGCGCTGAATTGATGCAGGGTTTACAATCACATAATACACATGATACATATGATATATTTACTCCACACACTTTTGTGGAACTGTCGCAAGGGTCTGATCATGAGCGGCTGCCATTCGGCGCCACCAGGTGACCTCAATACGACTTTTCTCCTTACATTTCGCGATATTCCCAATCATTGTTGCCCTTCCTATATTACCATAAAGAAAGAATGGTTCAACGGTGGGACTTTACCTTTGTGACAAACCTCCTTCCCGATCTTCCCTCTCTCCTGCGCGTTCACAGCCACAGCCGAGGCGTCGTAAGCGTGGCTAACGAAAGGCTTTTGCTTCACTGGCTCCCCATCGAAGAGCACCAAGAAATCATACTGGCCTAAAGAAAAAGAGCAATGATTTTCCCACATTAGACACGAAACGTTACAGAGTAGCAGCATAGCAAATAGTATCATGCACGAAGCAATACAAAGCTATCTATGCATAATTTTGATGACGATGATACATATTTTTCATGCAAGCGATTGCCAAACAACTACATATTCTACCGGGTCATGTATAGAGAATGCACTAGTGACACCATGTTCATTGTTCACCAAAATGTTGGTTTCCTTGATATGTTTGATAGCTTGGGCAACTTTGTCTCAGTGACTTGGTGTACAGTGTTCATGCAGGTGTTGGTGTAGGCTACGCACCTACGTCACTCGGAAGGTACTCCACATTGGTGACCTTGTCCTGGTCCGATGGGGTCACACTACCGGCATAGTCCGCCCCCTTCCTGGGACCTGGTTTGGTTGGGAAGAAAACAACAAATTTAAGCATACAAACAACGTATCATCATGATGCATGCATTCCAAGATAAAGGTTTAGAATATAAATTATGAGTCGAGAAGTGCAAACATCACTGCAGCTCTAGCTTATTAGTATGCAAATAAAGTCGCTCTCCAGCTATTGGAGGGCACATGAATTGTACTGAAATATCATAATGTTAATCATAAGATTAATTGCAAATAAAAGAAATCAAGATTGCATATTCATTGTCGCGCATATGGAAATGATAAAAAAATGACATGCTGTGTAGTGTAGCAGAGAATGCTTATTTGTAATATAGTCAGGTGAACATATCAATCATAAGATTAATTGCAGAGGAAAAAAATCAACACTGCATACTCTTTGTCACGCATTTTAAAAAAAGGTAACAAAAGGACGGTTCTAAAACATGCTGTGTGGTCTAGCGGAGAGAGAACGCTAGCGCGCTAGCTGGCACACACAAGGCGCTCGCAGGACGCAGGCAAACGGCACAAACCGGCAATCTTCACGGTGACTTCGCCGTCACCGGCGCGCGACGTGTCTATTGCCCACAATGCCCTCTGTCCCACAGGAACTAGTTCCTCTCCCTTGACCTGCACCTCCTCTGCCGACGCCACGGTACAGACGTACGGCGAACCTTTAAAAACGGTGTCCGTTAGTGAATCATGGAAAAGAAACATGGTCAATTTTTGACAACTACTCCATTAATGAACTTACAGTATAAAACATACAGAACACAAGATCAACAGTGTGTGTCAGAGATTTGGAGTCTAAAAAATGTATGTATGATAAAATATAACCTCCATGACATGTCATGGAGGTAATAATTAGATCAACCTCTCGACCAATCAAACCTGCAGACTCGATGAAAGAGGCAAGTTCATTGGGCTAGCCTTTTAATAAATAGAGAGACAGCCATACCTATCTGACCAATTAGGTATGCTGTAACAAATCATCTTACAGTGATAGACCAATCCGATCAGGGCTAACAAAGTGTTTAAATTACCCGGCACGTCTTCCTTGTTGAACCTTAAGATTGTGGAATACTGCCCGGACTTATCGGCAGTATAACAGAGACTGTACAGCCCGGGTTGGGTAGATGACATTTGACTGTGAATTGTTCTTCCGTTGGACCTCACTTCACCTCCCAGCGTTCCTCTTCCAGCTTTTGTGGTGTCGACTGACGAGGAAAAGCCACAGGTAATCATTTTTGTAACTACTATAACATTGTAACTACTATAGTATTGTAACTACTATAGTATTGTAACTACTATAGTATTGTAACTACTATAGTATTGTAACTACTATAGTATTGTAACTACTATAGTATTGTAACTAATATAGTATTGTAACTACTATAGTATTGTAACTAATATAGTATTGTAACTAATATAGTATTGTAACTATTATGTATTGTATAGAGAACTACTACTGTAGGTGATCAGCCGTAGTCAAGTGCCCATGTCACAGCAATACTTGTCCATGAGCTTTCACGTGGAATTGATAATTGAAATATCCAAAATGCGACAGTTTTTGTATGTAACTTCGCACAGGATTTGAAACCTTTATAGTTCTTTATTTGCAAAATCATTCCCGAAGGCTAATTGCTTTTACAGTCAAATTCGGTACAATGCAATAATAGTAGACAGACTTATATGCGCAATGTACTGATTTTATGACGTTAGTGACAGATACGTACTTTGGATCTGTACCCTATCTCGGATCTTGGCCTTACTCTGATTCGTCACCTGGATCTTGCTAGGATCATACGCGTGTGAGATGAACGGCGAACCCTTGATGTTTACGTCGTCTTTCAGGACCAGAAACTCATGCTCACCTGTTAGGACCAAACGTTAGCGGCGAGAACACAATCTAAAACATACTCCAATACTCATGTACTCGTGTATATGTACTACAATACTCATTATCGTTTTTGTTCCACTGTATACTTCTTAAGTTGCTGTACACGTACATCGGTTGTTCATCTAGAAGGTATGTTTCTAACAACAGGAATAGTACTAGCTTTGTAATTGTAAAATTAGTTGGGTTATCAAATAATAATCCAATCAACAGACACGTATTATATTAGGCAGTATGAAGAGCTGCAGCCAACATGTCATGCTGAGGGGGAGTTAAAAGAAGTTTGTAAATGATGTCAATGTGTCAGCTTTTTGTAAGCTTAATATTATGTAGGAACAAAATTGTAAGTGGAAGGACGGGTAGCATCTCCAAACAAAAGGCACATGCCTAGTGAAGGACTAGATTTGCCGTGGAGTACTGGAATACCTAAAGGAGGCGGGATGAAATGATATAGGATGAAAACACACACAGGATAACATAACAAGACTCGGTCCATACCAACTTCAGCTGGTATATACAATACTGTGTAGATGTCGTCTTCTTCAACAATCTCTCCTTGCACAGTGGCGTCTTCTGAAGGTCCTAGGAGGTTAAATTACAACGTGCGTCACCATTCGGTGTTTAAGATGTAGCTAACATGTATGCTATTTCTTCTACAACATGATAGGCTGTACAAAAAGTGTGGGGAAAAAACGTCGCATGCGCCATCGCAAGGTAAATTCGCAGCAGCGGTTGCAAACAAAAAGGAAGTATGCTTGGTTCGCGATTTGACGCCGAGCAACGGAAAAGGCAGCAGCAATGAAGATGCGGGCATATCATCATTGCCAGTATCGCAGGACACTACCTTAGGGACATACTATCAGGCATATTCAGTGACATATCTTACCATTTATTTAGCAACAGCCTTTCAGTTCTATTTGTTTTATTTGATTAAATAAGATGTCCATTAGTGTAAATTCTACACTATTCTTCATGGAGTTCGTAGTGAATCACCAACTTTCAGGTAAACAACAAGCGTTTAGGTTCTGGGTTACATGTATGTATGTCTGCTATCAGATGTAAATTTCTAAAGTAAAAAACACAAACTTTCAGATAAACAAGCGTTAAGGTGATAGGTTGTGTGTGTCTGATATCAGATGTATTTCTGAAGTAAAAAAACACCAACCTGCTATTTTGACCACCACGTCTCCCCCCGGCGTCTTGCTGGCGTCCACCTGGAACTTGGCGAGTTTCCCGACCGGCACGTTCCCTAACCCTTCCCCGCCAACCACGATGTCGCTCGTGTCAAAGTTCTCGTACACCAACGGAGATCCTGGGACGTGGAAGGGATTTTTTTAATACCTCAATTCTTGGTTGATAATATGTATCTGTATAGCCGGTATAACAGCCCTACGGCGTAACACACCAGCTTTGCAGGCACGCGGCGCGGCGGCAGCTACTATATTACACCGAACGACCTGTTACACCTAGAATTTGCACGTCTAACTGTATAGTGTATACGTAGGAGTAGTTAGCTTTAGTGATGATGCCTCAGCTGTACATCTCAATTCTTGAATTCATGTTTGAGTTTTTATTTCAGTTGACAAAAATAGACTTAAGTGTGACTAAAAGGTCATCTGGTGGTCATGTGGGTGAGACGCTGCGATTCAGTTTAGTATATCTATGGGGTTGCAAGATTATGATTATAATGTGTGTGATGTTGATCCGTTGGCATCAATATATCAGGTTTAAATAACCTTCAGCCAATTGTTAAAATGCAGGAGCTATGTACTTATATAGTATATTACATACCTGGAACTGTGACGTCGTTGTACTCGGCGTGGACTTCATATTGCCCAAGTCTCTTGGGTTGGAAGGAGACCTTGTATTTCCCAGTGTCCAGTTTGTCGCAGTTGTGAGGCACTGTCTCGTCTTTGGTGGTCACTGACGTGTTCAGTATCCCTGATCCAGCTTTCTTAGTGTCCACTGCAGAAATGGCATTGATATCATGAATTTAAGGCTGTCCATCTCTCACAAATTATGCCAATCAAAATGTTTAGAACTCAGAATGATGTTAACGTAACAAATTGAATTGAAAGACCGGTAACGCTAAGCGTACAATTGTAACTTCCAGCTTTTATGTTTCTTTGCTAGTAAAGCATTGATTATAACATGTATTTAGACAAAAGGCAGTTGTTTTCTTTATGTTATGCATTACGTTTAATACATGTTCATAGGAAGTTTCATGCATCTAAAACATATAAATGAACTGACCGATGGTGGACACATATCCTAGTTCGTCCCTCTTGCTGAGTGGACCCAGGCTGACGCGGTTGACGTCGTAGGCGTGGACAGTCACCGGACTACTGGCCACGGTCAGTCCCGCGAACTTCACGTTCACTTTGTGGTCACCTTGAGGGAGAAAAAGATGTTTTCATCATGTAGAGATACCATAGCTTTCTTTCAACCAATCTCTGTTCTTGCATTATGAAGGGAATATAGGTAGTATGATATGTATTTCAAAGCTTTACGATCTACAAAGCACCACACTGGCATTATATTTCTGTTGTTTGGGCTTGTATCCACTAGCTTTCGTCAGTGACTAGCTTTCGTCAGTCACTGACGAAAGCTTGTGGATACTAGCTGAAACGTCTGACGTTTCCAAAATCATATCCAGTTGCTTGAGTAACTTTTTTTGGCGTATCGTATTACCTGGATGTCTAACCTTCATCGACGTAGTTTAGGCTTTTAGTTAATACCCACTCTTTGTAATATTATTGTCTGATAGTTGACGAGTGAGTGGAAGGAAAAAGACCTTTATTGGTAATGTAACAACTCACCAGGTTCCTTGGGTGTGTATGTTGCCGTATAGATGGAACCATCTTTGTATACGTCGCAGGGGACGTCGCGGTCTACCGAATCTATAGCAAAGACATAAACAACATTATTTCCAACACTTAGGTAGGGGTAACAGATAATCCTCCATGTACCGCCAAAGTAGTATGCTTCTTTTGTCAAGCTGTACTAGAGATTTTAAACGTCAAATCTAAACAATGAGCTTCAAAAACTGTTTGAAGCTCCTTCATCTAAATAGTAAACAGCTAAAGATGCACAATAACTCCGTTACAGCAGTTGCCTCTAAGTCTTTAAGTCAATTTTCTCATAGTCACAAAAACATCTTCTTAAAGTTGAAAAGCTATCAACTATATGGCATACGTAGACAAAACGAATTGGGATAATTCAAAGTCATTGCTAACCTGTTACGGTTGCTACCACAGGGGCATCGCCTGACTCTGTGGTGTCCACGTTGAAAGACACGGTCTCCCCCACTGGTAGGTAATGTCCCCGTCTGTAGCCCTCACCGCGAACAGCTACCTGGTTCGGATCGATCACTGGACAGCGCACTGGAGAAATAGAAATTGAGCACAAGATTAACACATAGAAATATGCTTGTTGAAAGGTTGTGGTGGGCTTTGATATAGAACCGGAGCAGTCACTGTGACTACTCCACGCGATATCCCTATGTTGCTGCAGCAAGCTCAGCTGGATATACCGGTACAAACCAGATTGAGCCTGACCTGCATACACCACGATTTCTCCCTCTTCTCTGAACATTCCGGTTAAACGTCCATCTACCCTTAGACTATAATGTAACGAAGATGCCAGAAACAATTAGCTATATTCTATGAAAAATAGCTATATCTCTCTCATCACTGTGTACTTGATCCATGGTTAAAGCACAATAGTCTTTGCTACCAGACCCCAAGACTTAACCTTACCCCACCGAAAGAGTGACCCAAACCATGGCAACCCATCGTTTTTATTTGCCTTTTGTTCAGCTGAAGGACCTATTATACAACTGAATGGTTCTGTGGGACTCAGCAAACCAAATGAAGGAGTCTTAAACCCGCTATTTTCGTGCCCAGAACATCGATCTCCATGGGTGTCAAGTTAACACTATACTCTGGACGTGACCTCCATTCCAAAGTCAAGTACCGCTAACACATTCAGATGCAGGACACACATATTCATCTCCAGCTTTTCCCCCAGAACAACTCCAGAATGGAAAACATTACCACAGCACATCGTAACACAGTGAATACCTTCAATGTTTGTTTTGTTGTCAGACACTTTCTTTTTCTTTTTTTACGCCACCCATCGGCCGCACTGGTCGTGCACCCTTGGCGTGATGCCCCATAGAGGGCAGTATCAATGTAGATGTAGCACCAAAGGTACGAAATCACCATACCAGGCACATTCGTCTTGTTGAAGGTCAGCCCGATGTTGTAGAGACCGACACCCTCCGGGTTAAAGGACAGCATCTGTTTGCCGTCTCCCTGGTCGATCAGCTTGCTGCCGATGTCGCGGCCATCTTTGGTGACAGACGCGCTGAGGTTCCCCTGGCCGACTCGTGATGTGTCGACTGGGAGGAGAGCAAACAACAATACAATGGCGATGATTCCAAATCATACATCTTGTCACGTGTGTGAAGATTAGTGGTAGAGTTTGAAACACTATTTTATTCACACATTTTATCGCTCACACATCATGAGGAAGTTCGCGGCTTTGTAACCTAATTACAAGAAAGAGTGCAGGTCGTGATAACATACATCAGGAAAGTAATGAGATAAGTGGTGGGTTCTACCGCAGAGTTTTCACGCTCGCAGGGCAGGGGTTTGTGCTGCATATCAATTATGCAGACTGCGTTATTCCCTGTTTAGCTCTCTAGATACGAAGTGAGCAGTATTAAGCATCGCAGATGCGGGCTGCAGTTGAAGTTGAAATTCCCTATATGATCTCATTGCTAATGGATTATCAAAGTATAATGCATGTAGCAGGCATCGGTATGGACATATCAATGGAATATAGTTAGCATTTATCATTTTAGGAAATGATCGTATACACACATTACTGATAAATATACCACAAATATGTATGGGTAGAAAAATGGTCTGACCATTAGCCGCTAAACTGATAAGCCAATATAACGGAAAAGTCGCACGACACTGACAGGAATGTGGGATTACGTGTCAATAACAGACTATCTGCATGCTACAAGTGCCACTACAGAAAGAAAGGTTGTATAGTCCGAATCTATCGCATTGCCTGAACCCAGTCCTCGTCACCTACCTGTGCACTTGACACCTGTAGAAGGGTGTTTAATCTTCACCTGAAACGTTGTCATCACACCTACAATTTATGTGACGCTCTATCCCAAATAACAGGTGTACAACACGATGTAATGTAGCTGTACATTTGTGCAAATTCCCCCCGGGGTGTTCCATCTATTATCTCATCACGCCAGAGCGCCAACACGTAATGTAAATGACTGACGACAAGGTCACACGAACCAGTGTCATCATGCCCCCCTCCCCCATTGGCCTACAGTTGATATTCCAGTTCCTGGTACAAATGTACTTACTCGGAACTTCGACGTCCTTCCCGACGTCCCATTTGGCCTCGCTGACCTTGATCTTGGTGATGTCATAGGCGTGGCAGACGAACGGACCTCCGGGAACTTCTGTGCCGTTGTACTTGACAGAGATGTCGTGTTCACCTGTAGTAAAAATAGCAACATATATTGGAGTCACATCTTGTTATACATATCTCTTAATGTGGTTTCTAATAAGCAGCTCAGTTATGATGAAATGTTCCCCCAGGCAAGTACTATTATATGTATGAATTGATTAACATATGGTTTCTTCTATATCTAGATGTTTGCCACAAATGAAAATACTAAAGTAGATAGAAAATGTGCTCTTTCGTCTGTGTATAAATGATCCTTATCAATATCGACATAGATATTATCTACTGTATATATACTCGAAATACATTTCAAATATGAGTTCAAATTACGTATAAAGATACTCGATGTAGGTATGCGTACCTTACAATCTTATAGAAATATGACATTTCATGATACCATGACCACAGATATGTTTAAAACCAAGTGTCTATTGCCCTTTTCATCAAAACCTATACATCTGGGTGTGCTCATAGCGAAACAAAGGATCATATTAGTACATTCAAAATAGATGTTACAAACGATGCTTTATTTACAAACCACAACATGCTTCTGTCATGATATCAATAATTTATCGTTGAAGCAAGTAAACAACAATATGATTTTGACGTACCGACTTCTTCGGGCACATATTCCACCTGAATGCTGCCGTTGGCGTCGTTATATCGGCACGGGAGTCGGTCCTTCCTCGGCCCTACAGGACGTAAAAAACTCGTAGAGTTCATCTTCTTCAAAAACTCCACTAACCTTTTATCTATACTCTGATTACAGTAGTCCGGTGAAAACGCCGCCGGCATCTTGTTATAGTATATAAATCTCTCCTGTGTTTTGAAAATGTGTACAAATTTTCTACATGTATCGAATTGTAGTTCGTGGAGTATCAAATATTTATATATGGTGACACTCCTTTTTATTTAGGGTGTGGTATGATTGCTATCTATACCTCATTTGCATATGATGAAGGGCGTTGCCTTAGAGGACCCCGACGTCACAATGGCGGCCTATGCGTCATCATTGGAAAGTGGGCTATAGCGTTATCATTGAATCCTAACTCACCCGTAACGATGATTTCCATTGGTAGCTCCTCCACATTTTCAGCGCTGACCATGAATTTGGCCGTGCGGTGAACCGGAACATGTCCCAGCCCTGACCCGGAAACGATCACCTTTCCGGAAGTTTCTAGCATAGGGGCAAATTACATGTATTAACCTAAAGCCAAATTACACATCTCTGCACCTGTTGAAGGCGTAATTCAAAGTAGATTATATGTATTAACGTCAACAAAGGGCAATAATATACACAGGTGGATGTAGTCTTTATCACAACAGATCACTCTTTTTTACTTCCTTTTAAAGGTTGAAAAAACTTCAAACCAGTTCGAAATGACGCCAGAGTGTTGTAGACTTAAGTTCTTTGCTTTTTTCACATCCGTATCTGATAATATACACTTCATTATCTGCGTGTTTCCACAAGTTATCATATCATTAATTTGATATCCATTGGGGCGTTTACATTTCCACTGGTGTTGGATTATATAAATTATATAACAATGGCAAGACAGAGGTGGGGTTGGGGGTGGTTGCTGGTCAATATATATATATATGTTTTATACGAATGTGTTTAACCAAGGACTGTGTATAATGTCCTTGGTTTAACTAAGAATAAACAAAGCAGTTAGTTTGTTGGGCTAGACCATGTGAAGGTAAACATGATGTATTTTGTTACCCTTCTAGTTGTTTCAGATCTACACTTACTGTTGTCTAAAGAAATCTGACTTGCTATTCATAATACGCTATTTGTGAACAATGGATCTTCAGTGGTAAGATAAATGTAAAGCAATTAGCTATGTCACCTAACGAGTGTGTTTGAATACTGAAAAAAGTTGTCTGCATGGTTTGTTTGTGGATGAAAATAGAAAGTAGCTACCAAGCCATTAACTTTCACTTTGTCTGAAAAAATGCTTATGCTTTTTTTTAATTGAAAATCTGCATTGTGACTATGTTTTGATATTTTTGTTAAGTTGTGACATAAGTTTGTTTACCTCTGTAACTAGTTGCCAGCTCGAGTGAGTAACTATACGGTATGTCCCAATTTCGCTTGAGGGTAGTAGTCACTTCCTACAAATACCTAGACTTAGATCTCTCCAGATAAAAGGTTGTTGTGAATTCAAGGTCTATTCGTTATACCAGGTATCATACATTTGGTGTTTTGCCTGCGTACTTAGTTACTTTGATCTGGCATATATTTAAAGATGGTGAATTCTGAAATACTTTATTTACATGTTCCAAGCCATTCCTCTGGTTTAAAGGTGTACACAGGGTCATGTTAGAAATGCATGCGTGTCATCTCAAGCACGCCGACTCAAGGAAAAACAAATACCCGGCACGTAGGGCCAACTGTTCGTTAGAATGTCACTTCTGTCGGTAAACAGTTACGCAAGAACGACTCTGGTGGTAGTAGCAATAAATAATACCAGGGTATGCTGCTACCGCCATTCCGTGAGTGCCATTCTAAGGTGTAGGAGCCATCTGCCATTAAACGTGAATAAATATGATTGGGTATAAGATCATTACAGTACAAAATACACTCATAGCGTTCTGGCGAACTCAAAAATTCTTCTGGATGTCACCTTTAGTTCACACCCACTAGTTTTGGTGGCTCGTGTTGGCCCAATTAGGCATAATTATATACAGACAGCTTGGTGAACATTCATTTTCTAGGTGTGGCCACTTTAGAATCTAAGTAAACTCAAATGTTTTTGTACGCTTACAGTGTACCCTTACACATGTCCTTGAATTCATAGAGTAACCCTGGACTGTTGCTGTAAAGATCTAGAGCTTTCGCGGTGTTATGCTGTAGCTAGAGGAACATTCTTTAGAAGAAAAAGTTTGTTGTGACCTTTTCCAGGTCATTTGTCATAAGTCGCCAGGTGAAATGTACCAAACAAAACAGCTTGCTGTAGGTTGTGTCGGATAACTTCTGTAGTACGATGCAAATGTGAGATAAAATCACTTTAGTGATTGTACGAATGGTTAAATCGCAGGCATTTTTCATTACTGCTGCACCTTATATAGTGCGTGTCTGTACACATGCTCGATAATTGCGAACGGGTTGGGTCATATGGCATCTGTTTTCATTGTTGTCGGCTTAGCTAGTAGGAGTACTGAATTTCTGACAGATGCCTTTGAAACGAAATCCTTTGAATCGTAAGTCTTTACATGCAATATGTCATAAACTTGCCAGAAAGTATAGAGAATAAGATCAAAGTATAGGCCACCTGTTTACATTGCTTGGGCTCTAGATCTATGCCGATCTTCAAGTTGTTGGGGAGGGGGGTGTAATGTATTACAGTTAGACTACACTCAACAAAATCAGTGTTTAAAAGTTGGAAACTTACCTGGTTCTCCATTGAGGAGTTTAGAAGGAGGAGGGGCAGAGTGGGCTTCGTCTGCGGTGGCTACTGCCACTTGTTCCGGCATGGGTGATGCTGGTTTCTCGTACTCGTCGTCACTCGAACTACTGGAACTCGAAGTCAGCTCATCTTCACTCACAATGATTATCTTCGCTCCTTTCTTGTTCTTAAGTATCTCCTTTATCTGATCGACATCATCAATCTCCCTACCCTCGATCCTTTTTGCCTTAAGGGTGGTCTTTTTACTGAACATGTCATCAGCTTTGTCTTTTATCTTTTCGAAAGTAGATTTGTCTTTAGGCGCCTCCATAACGGGTGGTGGGGCCGAACGCACCTCTTCGACAACAGTAGGCGTTGCTTCAGTTGGGAAGACTGGAGTCGCGGCGGGGGCCTCAGTTGTCGGGGCGACCTCTTCCTCGCTGTCCGATGATGACGACGACGACGACGATGAGTCTTTACGAAGTTGCTTGATGTTGCCGAGAACAGATTGTCGAGCCCCTTCTATTTCGGTCGGGCTGCGGGCAGTTTGCAGGGACACGCTGTTGTTTACAGGCGGGGCGGGACTTTGCGTCTCGACCTGGGTCACCTGGTTAGCCTGAGGTAGAACAGGAGGGGGCGTGGTCTTCACAGGTTCGGCAGGTTCGACGACATACACCGGGGAGACGGGCTCGCGCACGCGCGGTGACTCGGGGGTCTTCTTCAGTTGAGCGGGCCTGGCAGCAGGTCTCTGTACGGGCAAAGAACTGCTTGATAAGATCGGGGGTGATGCATTCATGGGTGAGAACGGTGTGCTTACTTTTTCTACAGGTGAAAAGCTTTTAGCTTGAGAAGGCCAAGGTGCGTCTACTTTTTCTACAGACCAAGCCCGTTTTGCTAGAGCTTTCTCGACAGTGTAGCGCTTTTTGCTGGAGAAGGCGTGTGCGCTTTGTCTAAAGGAGAAAAATGCAGCGAGAAAAGGTGCTCTTACCTCATCAAAAGGGGTTGTTTTCTTAACCGGAGAAGGCGGTCTCTGAACTTCAACTGCAGGAGACGCTTTGACGACTGGGGGAGACGTTTTCTGGACCAGAGGGGGCGTCTTCTTAACCGGAGGAGGCGTCTTCTTAACCGGAGGGGGCGTCTTCTTAACCGAAGGAGGCGTCTTCTGAACCATAGGAGACGCTTTCTTAACCGGAGGAGGTGCCTTCTGGACAGGAGGTGGCGCCTTCTGTACTTCCACAGGAGGAGAGGCCTTGACCTCCGGAGATGGTGTTTTCTTCGTAGCCATCGGAGGAGCCGTGTTCACGACGGGAGACGGCGGCTTCTGTACCTCGAGGGGAGGGGTGCTTTCCAACACAGGACTGGTCTTCATCTTCAGCGAGGATGGTTTTGATCCAACCACCCTGCTGGGCGGAAGATTGGAATCCTCAGCATCCATATTCATGGGCCCTGTCTTCCTGTCATCCACACTGCTAAGGGAGGACACGCTACTCTTAGAAGAAGTAGAACTCTTCCTTTCCTTCTTTTTCAGCTTTTTCTTCTTGGGGAGATCAAGACTGCTTGCAGACGTGAGGGATGAAGAGGATGTCTTCCTCTCCAATTTTGCCTCCTTTGTCGGAAGTGCTGCGGTGGGACCAGCAGCTGAGGCATTGATTGCTGGTGCTGGTGCTGCTTTAACTTCCGGCACTGCAGCCTTCTTCAGCGAACCTTTTAGATTCTCAGCACCGCTACTAGACGATGTACCAGGTTCCCTGGAGTTTGCCTGATGAGACCTCACCACTGTGGGGGTAGGCAGGCTGTTCTCCTCGTCTTCTACTACCGTTACGTCTGCTTTCCTTAGTTTGGGAGCTTCCTCCTGTAGCTCCAAAAGTGGCTTGCGCTCTCGCGGTTCGTCAGGTAAGGTGTGAGACGTGCCGTACTTGATGCCGACGTCGGTCTGTGCCTGTTGTAGGTCATAGCTGGTCCTTTCTCGACCGAAGAAGGTCTTGATTCTATCCATGACGCCAGGTCCTGATGTTCTTATCTTTGGTGGCGGTGACGGTTGTCTGCTTAGCTCCTCGTCGCTCTGCCCTTTCTTGCGAAAGAAGCTTGCCTTCTTCTTGACGTTTCCTTCCTGGACACCCCGAGGTTTAGTAGGCTCGCCTTTTGGTTTACCACCCGCGAGGACGCTCTGTGGGATGTGGGAGCCTGCCTGTGGTTCCCTTACGGGAGGGTTTGCTCCACCCGGCGGCAGAGAGGACTGTACCTCCTCGGCTGGGGTTGCTGATACAGCCGGGGTGTACCCAGGTGGTTTCCTCAAACTATCGTCCGACTCAGACGAAGTATAAGAGGGCTTACTCTTCTTGCTTTGTAACTGGTCGTCTATGATATCTGGTGATCGCTTCTCACCGATTTTGCGAATGTCTTCCAGAACGGACGTGCGTGCGTCGTGTGTCTGAGCAGCTTGCTTAGTACTCATCCCTTCCTCTGACTCCTCTTCCTCTTCTCTAGCAAAGCTACTGCTGCTACTAGCAGATACCGGTTCTGGGATGGTTTCCTCCTGGAGTTGACTTGTACTGCTTTCCTGTACCGATGCTTGAACAGTAAGCTCTGTATCCAATTTGACAGGGTCAGATTCTGTAACGTTTTCTTCTGTAGCCGAGTCTTCGGTGCTATGAACAGGAGTATCCTCCTCTTCCCTGTCGCTTTCGTCTATGGACAAGGTACTCTCTGATGACGAATCTTCTCTTCCCAGTTGCCCAAGAGCTCTTATGTCGTCAAGTAGCACTTTCTTTTTCTCTACCTGGTTTGGGTCCTTCTCTACTTCTGTCTCTGTGTCCTCGGTTCTATCTTCAGGGTCTCTGACAAATACCTCTTCGAGTGAGCTTACTCCGGAGTCGCTGAACGGGTACGTCGGGACCTCTCCCTCGGTTGGTTTGAAGACTTCGTCGGTTGAAAGCTGCGGATGCTCGTCGGTTGGAAGCAGCAGTTGATCGTCGGTTGAAAGCTGTGGTTGCTCGTCGGTGGGATTCTCAGTGATAGTGTCGTATCGAGTGGAACGGACGGACCCACAGACTGATGAAGCGATAGAAGGGGGTCGTCGGCTGGACGAGGTGTCGTTGAGGTCGATGAGGGATGTTTTTGAATTCCTTATTCGGAGATAGACTGAAGAAGTGAATTGCAGGATGGTCTCCTCATCGGAGTCAGCGGTGGCCATGGAATAAGGACTGGAAACAAAATGTACATAATCAATTAAAGCGGCGTAATCCTGTAACAAATATCAACTTGCTCATTTACATGTATTTTGACTTACAAGGACTACGTACTATACTGAGATCTCAAAACAACTCAAATCGTTATATCTATTTTTAATTCATTTGCAGTATATTTTTGTGCACAGAAAATGATTTATTATGTTGCCTTCCTATTGGCAGCCACTACTTATCACTGTAAAGTCACAACTGTCCCAGACAGGTCTAAAGTCTTTATAAGAGCATCGGTGACCGACAGTATTCCTCCCAAACAAAAGTTATAAAGAATGTTTCAAAGGTGATCATTCTAGCATGAATCATACCTCCCGCTGTGGGGAACTATAATGACCCCATTTGGCCCATATATATATAGTTCCTGACATGTACAATTATTGTGGAATGTTTAGAGAAAAAAGGCAGGTCCGGTAGTGGTCACCTAAAGTGATGAAGCAAAGCAAGGTGGGGAGGGGGGTTAGTCTGTCATGACTCACTGGCCTTCCGGTACTTACTTGTATTAAACAATATTTACACCTCACGTTTGATCACTACTGCATGCAGTGGCCGTATTGTATCATAGTTTTTGAGACACACATATTTCCTACCTTGTTTCTTCAGGGGTAGAAGCCATAGCTGAAGCAAATTGTAGCAGGTGGATTGAAAGATTGTGGCTACCTGTGTCTTGGGGAATGATTGGAATGTCAATCTGTTTATCCCCATTTAGGAAAAGGAAGAAAGCTTTTGAAATTCAAATCGTTCCTACTGCAACCCTCCCTCGTGACACGACACTTGTTAGAGAAAAGTTTACTGACAGACTCTCATTGTTTAGTAGGGGCTTAAAGTTTACTACTGAGATTTTTTTAAATGTCTCAATATCCAATTATTAATTGTAATTGAGAGATTTTTACGTTGATTCTGAATTAGGTTCAGAAGATCAGTTTAGATATCTGTCGCTTTGTGTATAACAACGTCGTTACATGGGTGATGTAACCATAACCTACAGTTTGTGCTTCTTGGCATCATCATTATGGGTTCTAAGTGGAAAGTTTACGATAAATTCTATATCGTACTATGTTATAACACTCTCTTATGCGGAATGAAATTTTTCGAAAATCGTTGCAAATTTCAAGTCATGCTTTCCTGCGTGTTTGCAAAACTCTTGCACCAATTACGATGTTATTATAGTCACAAGCCAAACATTTTCAATTGACCTTGAGTCTACAACATGGCGGAACAAAATGGCGGACACACTAGTCAAAAGTTAGACGAGATGTTAACTACAGTTAACAAAGTATCTATTGTCGTATTTACTAGCGTTCTTACTATGTAGTAAATACATATACTCTATGGTGTATTGTTATATATATAAGATTCGGTGAGAAAAAAAAGATCACCACACCCTCATACCCTCACAGTAGCGACAATGTTTTACAAAACCCTTCATTCTGGACACCTGTGAACTTAAGCTTGATTTAAAGGGACAGCGCAGCCAGGGCTTAACTTAAGTATACGTCTCGTGTGACCACAATAACAAACAAAAACTGTTGCAAGAGTTTCCATCTTGAGGGGTGCACAAAATCTTATGGAAGGGATTTATAATTATACAGATGGGAATATCTTAAAATATCTTGAAAGAATGCATGGCATGCGCTGATTCAAACGCGCCCTGTGGCAGCTCCTGAATATGGTAATGAGTCTCTTCTCCGTACAATTGACAAAAGGCCAGGACTGGATGGTTCACCCTGGGGGCAGGTAGCCGGGGCGAGTAGACACCGACAACAAAAACTTCCAGCTTATTTATTAGATTTCTACACATCGCACATCTTATCAATTACTTTGATAAAATAGAGTTTTCTGGTTGTTCAGAAGAAATCCATCGTTTGAAAAAGTCTGTTGTGGTTACAGGTTGACCCTGCTTACGAGTGGAATGAGAAGAATGCACCAATAATTGTGGGCCGATGTGATGCGATGAGATAGGATTGAGGAAGAACAGGTTTTACAAGGTTGGTGGCAAGGGGCACGACCCATGGGCTTAGTGCAATTTGCATGTGTATTTGTCTTTCCACCATTCATCAATGCTGCTACCAAATGCCAGTTATAATGGAGCGTCTGTTGCCTTTTGTTGACAGAAAGTCTGCATTTTCTATTAAAAGTATGATTCAATGTTTTGTATGGAGGAATAGGATACTGCGTGTGATTATGTCCGGGTCGCTGCGCATACGCCTATGCTATGTAAACACCGGGTGAAAGATTATGATAAATATGGTAACACTTATCCACATACTACTTTATAAACAAGTCTTAAGTGATAGAAGCTAAATGTTGGGGAATAAGTATCCCACTCATAAAATATAGCACCACTATTTTAAGAAAAATGCAAATCATATGTTATAGTATATAGATGATGTATGCTGTTATGATTTAACAACAGCGTCTGATAAAATGCCCTGTGCAGTCAATTAATTGTTCGCTGTCTGTTTTAAACGAGGCTATTTTAGTATATATGTATGCCTATAATCAATTAGAGGATGCACTATGATTGGAATTTTCACTTAACGGTAATTAAGCCACGAAATAGATTAAAGCTAATTTTCCTTCTACGTCATTTTTGCCCGAAGTGACGGCGTAGTATAAACGACAACACAAAACCTTACGTTTTTGACTTTGAAATGGTTAAGAAAAGAAGAAAATTTAACTTACCAGTGCCGCCATTTATGCTACCAAATCTCTGCACTCTAGTCACGGAAAAGTGAAGACTCCAGAAGGAGTCCAAGTTTTGACCGGCGCGACCAAGGCCTCTCCAAAATGGTGGCACAGGAAGGGCGTTGGACGAGGTGAGACCCCTCCCACCCTTATACGTCACGCGTAGCTTGACTTTCTACCTTTCACCTATAATTGACAGAATCGGGGCGACTTTGGCTAGTCTTGGCAGAGTTATTGGGGGAAGCTACGGGTGACTGAGTGACAAGAGATCTTTCATTACAGGATTTATCGTTGTGTGCTTGAACCTTCTATTGGTACCATGATAACAACAAAGTACTGCGTCCCATAATATGAGACGAGTATGTCTTGGGCATTAACAATTGATAATGTACAGACGCCCACATTACGTCGAATGAAAGAACAGGAAGTATAGGTAATTTCACACTAACGTAGTGCACGAAAAAAGACGCTAGTTTGATTTGTAATATTTGGCAGTAGTAAGACTTACTTTCTTTGGTACTTATAAGTTTTGATCTTTTTTTTTCATGTGAAATACTACAGTGTTTTGTATCTGGCATTTTACGTATCTCCAAATTTGTGCCAGTCATTGTTGTCTTTCATGGCAAGATGACAATATGAGTGGGTTGGTGATGATAAAATTCACACGGACATTCACACATTCATACATGCACGCACACACTCACACACACACACACACACACACACACACACACACACACACACACACACACACACACACACACACACACACACACACACACACACACACACACACACACACACACACGAACACCTAACGAAAACATAACCTTCTTGGCGAAGGTAAGAAACGAACAAACAAATCGAAAAGGGTTTGATAAATAACATGCAGCGTATTTCATTCTCGGGCGATATTATGGTTATGCCGGAGACAGACTATTGGAAAAAAGATTCAAGAATGATGTTCGTCCATCGTAGTCGAACAACATTTA